AAAAATAGAGGGTAAGTTAAGATCTGTCATAGAATGGGTACCTCGATTTAATATTTGTACCTATTATAAAGATATCTTATGATAAGTATAAACTATTATAAATAATATTTAAGTAATTAATAAGTGCAAGGAATGAGAACTAAATGAAGTGTACCTATTCATCTTTCTACACGAATATGTATGATAATGCGATTTAAGTTTAAGAAATTTTATATTATCCCATCCTTTTTTTTCTTTTATTCTTTCTATCTTTCGAAAAAAAAAAAAGTTTTTTATTAATTTATTATTTATTAAAATTAAAGAGTTTATTATAAGTTCGCGACTATAACTAAACTAATTCAATCCAACAAACAGGGATTTCTAGTAAAAAATGGGAGTTCTTGTTAAACATAGAAATCGCTTCTATTCTACTTCTATTCTATATATTATATTCTATATTTTCATTTTATTTCGATATTTTTTTTTTGCATTTTTTTTTTTCAAAGGAAAGAAACCGTGGAGCTGAAATAACTCACTCAGAACACCTTTTAAAAGATTACGTGGTACGATTGGATCGAATAAGCCCTTATGGAATGAATACTCAGCCGCTTGTGAACCGTCGGGTACTGTTTTATTTAATGTTTGTTCAATTACTCTTTTACCCGCAAAAGCAATGTAGGCATTGGGTTCAGCAATAATAACATCTCCCAACATACCAAAACTGGCAGTTACTCCACCAGTTGTAGGAGATGTAAGGATTGATACATAGAATAACTTTTTAGTTGATTGATAATTATATGAAGCAGAAGATATTTTAGCCATTTGCATCAAGCTCAAACTTCCTTCTTGCATGCGTGCTCCTCCAGAAGCACACACAATAATGACAGGTAGAGATCGATTAGTAGCATACTCGACCAAACGGGTGATTTTTTCGCCTACTACGGATCCCATACTACCTCCCATGAACCGAAAATCCATAACCCCAACTGCTATGGGAATACCATTTAGTTGACCTATACCTGTTTGAACAGCTTCAGTTAAACCCGTCCTTCTTTGATAAAAATCGATACGATCTTTATAAGGTTCCTCCTCTGAATGAAATTCAATGGGGTCCCTGGAGACCATATCTTCAGCCATAGGATCCCAAGTGCCAGGATCAATCAAAAGTTCGATTCTATCTGAACTACTCATTTTCAAATGATATCCACACTGTTCACAAATATGCAGTTTTGACCTAAAAAATTTTTTATAATTTAATCCATAACAATTTTCGCATTGAACCCATAAATTTCGGTATTTTTTATTTATATCAAAATCACTAGATCTTCCTCTTATATTAAAATCGCGGCTGTTAACACCAGTTCGGATACTAGAATTCCTATTTTCACTACCGCTTACGCCTTCAGTAGAAATGAAACTAGAAATGTAACTGTCACTGTAATTGTCGGTACCACCGAAAATGTAACTATGAATACTGACTTCAAAACGCAGATAACTAGCAATGCAACTATTAATGTTATTATTCCAACTAGATTGAGTATCATACATGTAATGATAATAGTAGTGATTGTTACTCTTAGACCTACTATTCAAATAATTGGGAAAAAAACTTTCTAGTTCACTCAGAAAAAAACTATTATTTTCAATATCAAAACTATTATTTTCAATATCAAAATATACAGAATAACTGTCATCATTACCGTCCCTAACTAAAAAAGTGTTATCAGAGATAAAACTCCAACTATCCCTGATATCAAATAAATAATCAATATTACTGAAACTATAACTACCGCTATCACTCCAACTAGGAATGTTATTCGCCGTATCATTTAGAATAGGCTCTTCGCTTCCACTGGTATGTCCAACAGCATTAAGACTATCCATTGATTTACTTAGCCCACACTTATGTTCTAACTTCTCCTTAGACAACATCGAATTGAACCACCATTTTTTCATAGAGTCCTCATGCTCACTATTTGATGAAAATATAATAGATGAATAGTCATTCGATGAATAATCATTTTACTATTTTATTTCCTATCAGAATTAAGCATACGATCCAACCATTGGAATTGTTAACTAACAATGAGTGAGTATTGAAAGAAATGATTTTCTTTTTGGGGAATCCGGGTATCACTTCAATATATATATTATGATATATTATGATAGAATCTTTTCCTCAATTAGAAATAGAAAGACAGATTTCTCTCATGTCATGTACAAAAGAATTCTTATCGAAAAGATAAATAGTTATTTCTTCCTATACTATAAATGAAGAATTCATTCTCGTATAATCTCGTATCATATAATCAAATAAAATAATAAGTTTCTATTGTAACATGAAATGAAAAAGACAATATACAGGGTGGGTAGAAGTAGCCCCCCCTTGGCTTTATCTATGGCCTGAAACTGCAGGATAGAAAATGATCCACCAATCCCAAGGATCCATAATTAATCCTATGAATCCAACAATAAACAACATAAGTATTGACTTCTTTAGTCTTCGATTTGATGTTGTATTTAATTTAGATCTTGTATATATAAGATCTGCACATATGAAAGATCTATGCAAACACATAGTATAGGACGGTCATTCTTTATTCGGCTCAATCCTTTTTTTTAGGAAAAGGATTGGGCCGAGTTTAATTGCAATCAATTAGGAGAACAAACAGAAATTACTGAATTATGCGCGCTTAGTTCTTATACTTTCTGTTTATCTATCTTATCTACTGGTTCGAACTCGAATTTGATCTCTTTCCATACTTCACAAGCAGCGGCTAGTTCCGGGCTCCATTTGGCAGCTTCACGGATAATCTCATTACCCTCACGAGCAAGATCACGTCCCTCATTACGAGCTTGTACGCATGCTTCTAAAGCTACCCGATTAGCTACCGCACCAGGTGCATTTCCCCAAGGGTGTCCTAAAGTTCCTCCACCGAACTGTAGTACGGAATCATCTCCAAAGATTTCGGTTAGGGCAGGCATATGCCAAACATGAATACCCCCTGAAGCCACGGGAATAACACCTGGCATAGAAACCCAATCTTGAGTTAAAAAACTACTCTGACTTCGGTTGTTTTCAATATAATCATCACGTAATAAATCAACAAAACCTAAAGTCATCTCACGTTTCCCTTCCAGTTTACCTACTACTGTACCAGCATGAATATGATCTCCACCAGACATACATAATGCTTTAGCTAGTACACGAAAACGCATATCATGATTTTTCTGTCTATCAATAACTGCATGTATTGTGCTGTGGATGTGAAGAAGTAGACCATTGTCGTGGCAATAATGAGCCAAACTGGTATTTGCAGTAAATCCTCGAGTTAAGTATGTTAGCCTAACAAAACAAACCGTGGGGCCCACAAAGGTGGGCCCCACAAAGACAAATGAGATTTCGGTGTCGTTTTCTTTGAAAAATAAAAAAGGTGGCGGGTCCCACAAATATTTTATTATTAGTGGCGGGTCCCACATATAATATTATATTTGTGCATAGTGTTTTCTCAAACACTATAAATAGGGCCCTAAACTCTTAAGGAAATCTCATCCCAGAAACAACTCCTCTTATAGAAGAGTAAGAGAAAACAAAGAGAGAGTTTGTGAGAATTCTTGGAGTGTATCTGATCAAGAGAGGGTGTTCTCTTGGATCAATTCTTTTGGGATATAAAAGAATTTGGCGTCGTCGTTGCACCGTGGAGTAGCTCCGAAGGAGTGAACCACGTATATCTGTGAGTACTCTGTGTTGAATTTTGTGCCTTTATTTTGTGATTAAGTCTCCGTTCGAGGCGTTATTATTGGGGTGAATCCTAACAAGCCCACCAGGCACCGTCTCATTTGCAGTAGTGCATCCTAAGCTGGCGACTACCCTTACCGCAGTGGGAACTATAAGCTTTTTTCACTTGAGGTGAACCATGGACATATATAATATATTGTGATGCCCCCACACTTTTAGTCAAGACATTCGGAAAATGGATAGGGTTTGAGAGGATTTAAATGATGAGTCCTGGGAATCAAGTGCAGTAATGATTAACCATTTTTTATGGTAGATCAAACTAACGTGTGGCACTCAATAAGTCCAAAGGCTTACATTGCACCAATAGGTTCGCAGGCCGGAGGTGTGAAAAATACAATGTTCTCCTATCACCATTTGTGCAAATAACGTTGACATCCCTTTACAACAAAATAGAGTCCAACTAGTGCATATTTAGGGCCAGTTTGATATTGCTGAAGGTTATAATAAGTTGCTTATATAACCAGCTTATAGAAGTAATATATATAAGTTGCAAAAAAATAGCCATTAAATAGTCGTTTGGTAATCATATATCGAAACTTTCTTTCAAAAGCAAGTAAAGTGTTTGGTAAAACTATGCTTAAACATCATTATAAGTGCAAAATTACCAAAAATACACATAATTTTAGCTTCATGTATATTTGGAGCAAATATTATTGGCAAAGTCTAAAGGGTATATATTGTATATAAACTACAAAAAGCAAAAGGTGTTTTTAAAAGCATCCTCAGTTTGCTTCTAAAATCACCCCCCTTAAAAAGCAGAAATAGTTTCAATAAGCAATGCAAAATTCATTTTACCAAACGCCAATGTTGACCGCTTCTTTTTTTAAAAAAAAAAGAAAAAAGAAAAAACACCCTAGAAAAGGCCACAATACCAAACTGGCCCTTTAATCTCTGTCACTTTTCAGATGAAAATATCGTCCAAATCACCTGGGAGATACGGAAAGGATTTAGATACTTTAACAATGTGGGTTGGCTGAAGATTGTGTCCTTTTCCGTATACCAAATGAATCATATCTTTAGGTAACTCACGTTTTCACTCATCAATCCTTCTGACCATTTTCCAATTAGTTAAATGTTCTATGAAATTTTCCTGTATGCTACCATATTCTGAAATCTCATAATGGAAAGCTCCATTGTACTAAAAATGGATCCCACATCAGATGCACTTATAGATATCATAATTTTCGATCATGTCATCATTTCGCACCTTCAGGTGGGAACAATAAGCGCCATCAGACTAACTCGATTTTCTCTCTCTATATATAGACCCCTCGACTAGTTAGCAATAAAAAATCCCAAAGCAACAATCAGTTAATATGGAAACCAAGAACCCTGGAGACTTTGTGGCGATAAGCGTTTCAGAAACAGAGGAGAAATCCCCCGCAAGGTGTTGCGCAGTGTTGGCTTCTGTAATTAGGCGAACTATCGCAGGAGAGATTTGTGCTGATGATAGTAGAAAGCTCTTCCATGCTGCCAAGGTTGGATTGGCATTAGTTCTTGTATCCCTCCTCTACATGCTTGAAGTAGTTCATGATCGGTTAGGTGACAATGCTATGTGGGCAGTCATGACGGTGGTTGTTATCTTTGAGTCGACCGCAGGTAAATTTTAGTCTTGATCGAAGTACGTAGACCCCCCGGTAGCTGTTTTGAACTTACTGCCTGTAGTTCCATAGTCGCAAATAGAGCGCCTGGGTTGAATTATTCCGACTCTTTTGCCCTCAGATAAACTCATTAATTTCATCCAGGGACAACATATGCCAAAACTAACCCAAGGTGTCCATCTGCATGAAACTACAAGGGTAGTAAGTGCAAAACATCGCTACTGCAGGGGGTCTATGTGCAACAGTGCAACTAACAATCATGTAAGCACCCATTCGATACGGTTACACAATTTTCATCCACGTAACAAGAATCAGCCATAAAAGAAATTTTCAAATTGTTTGATTTCACAGTTTGATGCATGGCCAATAAAACTTTTGCCCAAACGCATGCTTGCATCAGTCATTCAAATTTCCAGTTCAATGCCTATCTATCACTTTATAATGAAAAAAAGATCAAACTTTATAGCTGATGCCATTTTTACCGGAGGAAAGAACAAGATGGTGATGACCTTCAGTTGCCCATAAACTTTCCAGACCGAGACCATCATGAGTAGCTTCTCTGGGTGACGATCTTTGATCAACTTACCAATGGCCATCAAGATGGTGAGAATACTATGCTAATAAGCCCTAATTATAACCGTTACAACCGTTATCAACTCTACTAAACAAAGATATGAAGGAGGACCATGACGAGATGTTTTCTGTCCATTCATATGAAACAAACACATGAACTTAGCTTCATCAACGCACAAGGAAAAGAGCAGCATAACGGGGCTTTCCCCGGCTACTCTTTCCATATATGTTTTAAAGGGACAAGGAACAACCTTTAAGAATGGTGCTTTGGAGCATATCTAAAAATTTTTCCAAAGAAACTACATCCTCCTCAACAAATGCAAGGACCACAGATACTAATGTTATAGTTAAGTGATGTGTGTATTATTCAGTGTAAAATGTCAGCGCCTAATGAGCGATCCCTTACTAGGAACTACAACCGTATTATTTACTGATCAATATATAGTTATACTGATCGATGGATTTTCTAATAAAAAGAAATAAACATAACGGTTAATTTTTTCCGGTGCAGGTGCAACAATAAGCAAGGGTATAAATCGAGTACTGGGAACTATGCTTGGTGGTGGGTTAGGATTTTCGGTGGCCTTCTTAGCACAAGGGATTAGTGGGGCAGGCAAAGCTGTAGTGATTGGCATCTCTGTCTTTGTCTTCTGTGAGTATACCTCCCGACTTCCAGGGAATCAAAAGCTCAATATATGCTTCATCCACTTACTACAACATAATAAAACCCAAAAAAGTTCAAAAGATTTCGTGAGTAGAAATTGATACATACAATGTTATGTTCCGTAAGAGCTGAAGAACGACTAGCTAGGGAAGTGGGTAGCTTAATCATTTCAGTAGGGAGACTCCTCCTGATCTCAGAATCATGAGAAGACGAAAATAATCTTTCGAGGAAATTGGTAACATTCTCTTGAAAAGGAGGGGGGAAAATCAAATCAAATCAAATCAAATCCTGTCTTGTTTTGCTAAGTACTGCTTCCTTCTTTGAAAAGGAAAAAAGCCTCGTAAATGACCTTATTATCTCATTTCCCTTGTCTTCTTTGTCTAGAAAAAGAAGTAAATCTGGAAATCATTCCACTCTTTGCTCAGTATACTGCTAATACAAATCGAGGATATAATGTTCTTGCATTAAAAAAAATTTTGGTTGTGCTGAACTGCAAGCTACAAGTTTTACCAGTTTTAAAGAACAAATTTGAAGGTCGATGAAATATGAGTATAATGCCGTAACATCTAGTGTTAAAGCACATCAATTGTCTTTCTAGCACTTGAAAAATTCTAAACAATGGGTAACAAATCCCTGAGAAAAATAGTACAAATTAATTAGCAAGAATTTTTATAAAATCAAATTCGTCTTGCTGAATTAATCTAAAAAGGTCCAAAAAGTACCAAGTGCGCGAAGGACATGGAAACCTCAATTTAGCAAGTTAAAGCAGTATCATAGTAGACTCAACATTAATAAACTTCCGAGAAGAGATATTATTACTGTGAAATATGTAAACTGATCCATATGTTATGATGTTCTCAGGTTCAACAGCAACATATATTAGAATGATCCCAAGTATCAAAAAGAAGCATGACTATGGAGCAATGATTTTCATCCTCACATATAGTTTGGTTGCTGTTTCTGGGGTTCGCAGCAACCAAATCATAAAGATAGCAAGTGATCGCCTCTCGTCCATCTTCATAGGTTTTGCTGTTTGCATCTTCATAAGTCTATTCATATTTCCCATTTGGTGTGGCGACGAGCTTCATAACTCCTTAGCCTCTAAGTTTGATAATCTAGCTTGTTCTATTGAAGGTTTGTCCCAAAAATACTCCCACTTTTGACATATTTCTATTTTTTTCCCTCGTCGTTCAACTCTATTTTCTAATTGTGTATTCTTTATAAGCATATAGAGATTTCAGAGGATTACATCAACAAGCCCTTGGACAAGAGATTAGAAGCTCAAAAAAGGGGTAGAGGTGTAAAATGCATATCAGTTCTATCCTCTAAAACAACTGAGGAGAATATGGTATGGAATTATATATCCATTCCATATTGAATTCAGCATATTTTGTGCTGTAGCAGTGACTGATATAAGAGTATTGCTGAACTTTCAAACTTAGGCTAATTTTGCAAAATGGGAGCCAATGCATGGGAGATTTCAATTTGACCATCCTTGGATCAGATACTTAAGGATTGGAGAGCTGCTAAGGGAGTTGGCAGTTTCTATCCTTGCGATAAGAGCGTGCCTACATTCAGAAACAAGAGTATGAAAACTTAGCTGCATCTTTTAAGTCCATTGCAGTTATATTAGTTCTCCTGAAGTCCGTTAACACTTCACTCTTATGTTTGTCATTAGATTTCTTCGCAATGCATAGATATGGGCACTAGAGAACGATATGAGACTGTGTTTTCATTGCTAGTATATACAATGAGAGAACTTGGGGATGGTATCTACAACATGAGAAGGTATCAGAATGAGGAGTCCATGATCTCAAGGCTTGGAACAATGACATTTTCTACATTGGAGACGATGGATGGCAGTTTGTTTCTCTTACAGGAGATTGTTGAGAAGGTAGAAGAGCTAATTAAAGAGGTTGATGGGTTAGGGAAAATTGCTGGGTTTACTGACCTGTAACTCATAAACGGGAGCTACAATACTACCCTTAATTTGGCCTTCAGACAGAAATCCTGTTTATATCTGTACATGATGTAGAGCAATTCAAGTTTGACATTAGCAATGTCAAAACTGTACTAGTATTACGTCTATAAAGCGA